TGTCGAAGAGCAGCGTGCTGTTGGGGGGGGGGGGAGGAACAGAGCTGCGTGAGACGACTGTCACACCCTCCCTAACCCACTCTACACCAAGGCAGCCTGTGAGCCAGAAAATACGCCCACACCCTGCAAATGAGCCAGTTTGGAAGCCGCAGACATATCAATGAGCCAGAAAGAAGTCCAGCTTCCTCAAGCAGCATGAGGCTTTGTGCTGTGGGATTATTCAGCATTGCTCTGAATGTGCCCCCTCTGCTTATGTCCCCATGGATGACAGTCACACTCAGACACGCCATAGCATCACACCAGCTTTCATTACTGCACCTGACGGTTCTATCACCAAACCACAGAAGCCACTGTGGAGCCGAAGCCAAGACCAAACCCCAGAGTATAATTTTCAGCCACTACTTCCTTTGCTGCCTTGTTTCCCCACATCACAGGAAATGTACGGCCCAAAGCATGTAACTAGGTACCACTATGTTTCTGAAGAACAAAGAAATAGAAGTTTGTATATTTCAAAAGAACTCTCTAAAACACGATACAAACAATTTCTGAGCTTAAACGTACTAATTAGTTTCTGGACATGCATCTTTTCTTGAGAAGTACATAACAAACTGACAGTCTACCTGCCAACCTGGCACCTTGCTACTGAGTCAGTAGTACTGACACACCTAATGAGTTTCACTGATGAAGATCAGAGGCAATACTGATAGTAGGAACCCTGGAGAATGATTGTTATATAGAATTTTCCTAAAATACTGGAAGATCCAGAAAGTTTCCAGATTTTAGCTTGAAGATATGAGCGTTTCTGGCAAATGTCAGTCGTTACTTTCCTATAGATATTTGTACAGCCCACTTCAAAGTCAGAAAACCTCTTTAAAATATTGTGCTGGTCTCATCAAACATCCATAACAATATTTAGCCGTGTTCCATGAATGGCTTTGAGCCAGTGTATGCTTGAAGCTGAAGTCATTCAAGCTAGTAAACCGGAGAATTATACAATTACCATTTTGTCATATTTTATGGCACGCAGTTAGCATTACTGCCTGCAACTCCTTTTAGAAGAGTAGACCGAACCAGATTGGAGGCATTGTCCCGCTTATCCACAGACTTGAAAGCCTCTTGCAAGTTGCACACAATTTTACCAGCCTCAGGATTGGTAACAAGACCTGCTGTTTGAAAGTGTTTTTTAGTGTTTGGAGATGCCGAACTGATCATCTTTGAAACAGTCTTTGACCTTGTCCCTGGGGACATTTTGTTCAAATTGCTGAACACTCCATGTTGAAGAGGCCATTTGTATGAACGAGATGAAAACTGATTTGGTACAGGCAGAGGTTGTTGGGGTGTGCTTTGGGTTTCACCAGTAGGGGACAGTCCACTTGGAAATGGCATCGATTGATCGTTAGCTGTCATGATCGATACAGATTCACTGGTCAAAATTTCAGGCCCAGCATTTTGGGGGAACCCATTTGACGGCACCGGTTGATTGTCCAGTGGCTGTTCACTTATATCGATTCCTTTCTCAAACCAGTAGGCCTTCTTTTTTCTTTCCCGGTCTTTTTTCCGAATAGCCTGCTTCTTTTGCCAACTTTGCTCTTTTCTATGCTTTGAATGCCATCGTTTGTATTGTTTGTTTAATGCTTGCTTTCCCTCGGGTGACTTGCGTTTCTTTTCTCGCAGCGCATTAATTCGAAGCCGTTCACTTTCTAAGTGTTCTTTTCGTTCTGCTACTGACATTGCCTGCTTCTGCCCCTGTCTCTGGAGACGCTTCCGTGCTGCCGGGATCATTGGTTCCTTTTTTTTCCTTGACCTTTCCCTCAGTCTGAGCTTTTGCAGCCCTTAATTTCACCCTCAGACCATACTTTTTTGGTGCCATGGTGCTGAAAAAATAAACAAATAGTATGAACATCTTCAAGGCAAGAGTAGAATCAAAGGCACGAGTACAATTAGTGCCCTTTTTAGTTTGGAATTTGTCTGCCCCTTTTTCAGCGTAGTTCTACCGCTCTTGAAATACTCACTGACTTTGTCTGAAAATGCTACATGCAACTGTAGGGCTTTGTGTACATTGCAACACATCATGCAAACGTGGCCGAGGCTTGTGGTTCAATTACCTTATAAGTGACTCAAACATTGCTCTGGCACAAAAATGACCTTTTCAGAAAGTTAGATGTAAACATTTGTGATGCTTTTCTATAGTCACAGGGTCATTTTAACACAAATTTTGTTGACACCTTGATTGGTATAAAAAACAATAGACCTTGATTATCAAGGTCATGGATAGATGGCAGCACTACCTTGAGACCCTCATGTGGTGACCCCTAACACCAAAGACAGTAACTTAATTGATTATGGATGTGGAAGAACCATGTATATTGGTCAAACTAACCCCTTGCAGCTGTTAAAAAAATGTGACGTACAGCCGGAGAAATTGGTTTATGCCTATTTCACATATTTTTCCAAACTTGTAATTAAAACTCAGGTGATATGTAACCTTTGGTATAATCAATACTAGGCATAAGTAAAATTAGATTTTGAACACTTACCAGACCAGAGAGACATTGAAACATAAAACGTGACGTACATGACCAGCCATTTTTCAGTTAGGCGTTGAAGAAAAACTTCTGCCCTCGGTACATTGATTGTTGTATCCATAAAAAAGGTACAGGCACATGGTCTATTTCCAATTAAAACAAGTACCCGAGTGCTTACCTGTTCTAAACCAATATGCCAGGAAATAAGATCACTGTTAATGAAGGAAAAACCTGGAAATCAATTAGTGTAACCTTATTGGCTAGTATATTTCTACTTGATTGACAAAAGCAAGAAAATTGCCAAATTTCAAACACACATATATCTGAAGGAATTAAGATGAAAAAGGACTGTCTTTTGATGACTAGAGTAAAATTAGCCAGAAACACTGAAATTCCAGGCACAATATCTTGGCTCTCCTTGATCAGAACATGAGAAAAGTATACATTTTAAGATTCAGTATCATGTTTTCTAAAACCTCAAAGTAATTACAACAGTGTTTAATCATTTAGAAAGGAACTGCAGCTTGAAAGCTAGAACCAACCCCTCAAAATACTGGTGGTACCTAGTTACATGCTTTTAGCCGTGTGTTCTGCATGCGATCAACTGACCCGTCCACCGGATCGGGACAACGGCCTGGCATCCGCCTGAACAAACCTGCGAACAATATTTTCTAAATCATTAGGAATGAAGAATCGACCTGGAAGCCCTATATTCTGACAGCCCAGACAACAGGAGAGAGGGAGACAGTCAGCGGCACCAGGAGAGCATGGGAGACAGAAGCAAGCAGCACAGCGTCACAGCAGAGGCCTCTGTCCTCCCTCCACAAGAGGCATCAGTCCTCACATCCAGAGCAAAACACAGCAGCCAGCTTTCAAAATTGCCCCTACAGCTGGGCGGACCCACCCAGGCAGCCAATCAGGAAGCGGCAGCGCTTGCGACCAGACAGCGGCCTGCAGCACTTAGCCGACACCGTAAATAGACTTTCTCCAGTCTTACAAGACCCAGTTTTGCGATGTGCATAAGGGGGGTGATGGGGGTCTGCTGGGACTCCCAATGGGAAGAGGCCGGAAGGCAAGGCCAGCTGCGTTAAACTGCGAGCTGCCCAGATCTCTGCTTGGGCACAGTCACGCGCTTCCCTGGGGAAAAGAGGGGCCTGTTCACTTCTGAGCCTGTTAGTCACGTAAGCAGGAGGGCACTATGCGAGTCCTGCGAGGGGCAAGCCGTCCATGACAGAGACGCTGAACGCGGCTCTGAATCAGCTACTCATCTGAGCTACCAGTTTAAGTGTCAAATTAAATTAATAAAAAAAACGCTAACTTGTATTTCTGCTGATGGGTGGCACAACAGAGAGCCGATCATTCTGAATCGAGATTATTTTGCTCAATTTTTCTGCCACCAAGGTTCCCAGATGCTGCTGCCCAGCGGGGAGGGGGGGGAACGAGCAGCCCTACAGCTTCAGGTCGGAACATTAAAAGATGCATCTCTCTTGGTGGTCTCAAGCATCTGTGTGGTGTTTCAGAGGAACAACAAGTTCCACTGCCCATACAGCCAGATCACCCAGATATGATTTTTAAAGTGAGCCTCTCATGGGAAATGTTTGTCATGGCTCATAAAAACCGGCGATTATTACACTACGTTTCCACTATCACACAAGGGCATGGAGCATTTCAAAACCCACTCATGAAAACTGGAAAGAACAGTGACAAGTAAATTGAAGAAATGGGACTTTTACCCACTACGAAAATCTAAAACTGAGGTGGCAGAGGCTTCAAAAAGAAAAAAGAAAGAAAAAGAAAAAAAAACTGCTGAGCTAAAATAATATCAGGGCTGAGAGGTGATTCAGCTCGACTAGGAAAGTACCTCCAGATGACATGGAGCAAACCTTTACCAAAACCAAAAACATCTTCATGAGGTTTCTGTCATCTTCTCGTCCTCATTGCCCATCCCCATGAACACTCCCACTTTATGAAGCAGACAAGGGTATGAACCGCGCACGCACACACACACACACACACGCACACAGACTTCTAAAAAACAATGAGCCAAAAGCCTGATTCCATTTGGCCTTACAGTGTTGGAGGCCACTGTAGTCAAACACTAACTGTAAGCACTGGGTGACAAGGAGGCTCCACTTACACTGAAACTGATCTGCACCATCGCCCAAGCTGGTCCGACCCCCAGAGTCCAGTTCGTTTGAATAGCGTGATGGGTCTGTAACATGCATGGGTGCGGTACGCTTAACCATACCCTGACCCACTTGGAGAGGTGGGCCAGAGCACGATCAGTCAGACTTGGGCCCAGTACGGATGAAGTGTGATTGCTAACCATGCTCAGGTACAGAACACAGTGATGCATGGAAACATGTACACTATACATGAACCAGAAGGAATGAATCAGGCAGGCTGTACAGACCGGGGCTTTTTTTTTCCATGTAAAACTGCAGTGGCAATGATTAGTGTGTAAAGAGATCACTGGGGGCTCGGGGAGAAGGGGGTCAGAATGGATACGATTCGCTACACGGATTTTGGGAGGGCTCTGTGCTGAAGGAAGGAAAAAAAACACATGGAAACAAAACTGTCAAACGTACTTCTTCCATGATCAAACTCATCACCATTACACTCTACTGTAAAAAAAAACGTGAACAGTATAAGTGCCTACGAAGGTTACAGCTTTTTTTGCTTTCTTCTGTTCATCTGCTCAATGTACAAAAAAAAATCCCATGCAGCGCATGCAATTCTGACATAGGATATAATCTGCAATTGCAGTTCCTGCAATGATTCAGATATATTTAGTCTGTGGTTCTGATTCAGTGATTACCAATACATTGCATAAGTATTGGCTGTAATAGTGTAATTAGTACCAGTACTAAAAAGCGTACCATGGTACCACATTTATAAAGCCGTTTGGTATTACATCTTTAGTACCGGTATTTCCGTGCAACACTAGTTCTGCACTAACAGATATTTGGTAAAAAGTGGGACTGTTTTCTTATTGGTGCACCATGAGTAAATAAAAATTACTGCTTTGCATACTTGAGAAGTCTGTGTGTCTCATTGTGCAAAAAATGACTCCAAATTAGCCACAAAATAAGGACATTAATGATGAATTCCATTCTGCTGTGAAATTATAACGCTCTGGCACGGTACAAGACAACTAGGCTAAGTGAGAGTGTGAGTGCCCACTTACAGGGAGGGGAGGGCCCCAAACAGCCACTGTCAGTCTCACTCTCGCCTGGGCAAACATACCCGGGGTGTGAAGCCTGTTCAAGAGGAATGAGGATTGCCGCAAAGACACAGTGCAGTGACACACTTAGTCAAACTGGTTAAGAACACCGATGACATCACACTGAAAGCTGGAGCGCGCGCACGCACACACACACACACACACACACACATGGCCCTGGGTCAATTACTCCTCTAAAAAAGTGCAGAGATTCAATATACAAACCGGGGGAAAATCAATGTCACATCCTGAACGCATTCCACACAAGAGCTCTTAGCGCCGCCCCCCCCCCACCCACTAAACAAGGAACGGGGGCCCAACACATTAAAGACATTAAATGTCTCTTTCCTTTTGACACAAATTGCCCCCTAAGGACAGTTAATGAGTATGACAACAGCAGTGGAAGAAGGCTGCTTTTCCACTGACGCTAGTGGGGTTTCCCGCAAGCGTCAGGCCCGACTGAGCCACAGCTCACCCTCCTGACGGCTCTGAAGGAGTAGCCCCCTGGAGGCGAGATGATGCCTGCCCCCCCTCCCAGACCCCGGGAGACCGGGCCTTTGGCTGTTACAGCAGGCCCACGGTTCAAAAAGCCGCTCTACAGAGTCATCTGCCTTAAAAGGGATGTTTGCAAAGAGAGCTGCTGAACCTAAACCACAATGAAGAAAAAATATATAATGCATAGAAGTCAGGCCAAACTGATCACTGACTAAATTAATATCTAATGGGGGGGGGGTGCTTCACTTGTCTGACAGGGTTTGCACTGAAAAAACACTGAAGCCATTTTATTCAGCTCAAAACTACAGCATGAGGCTTATCTTATACCTTGTACACGACTGGGGGGGG